GAGGTTCGTCCAGCACCAGATTGTCCACGTCACCATGCCTGTCTCACTTAGGAGGAGGAGGTCCAGGGGGTGTCCTGTCCGCCTGAGGTCATGCTTGGTTACAATGGAAGTGGGCACCAGACTCAGGTCTCCTGTCCTGAGAGTGTTTTCTGAAGAAAAATGTCCTTCTCACCCAGGAAGGGCTAGAGAAGGGGAAGGGGCAGCTGCCCTCTTGCTGCAGAGGGTCCCAGGTTGCAGCAAGCCTCACAAAGCTTTCAAGGGAATTCTGGGCAGAGGTGCACACAGCTTGCTAGGAGTCGGGCTGCTGCAGGGCCCCAGCCCTGGTGGAGGGTATCATCCGGGTCTGAGTGTTTCTGGCTCTAAAGCTTCTCTTTGCAGCATCTCCGGGAATCACTGAATACTGCTCCACCCTGGGTTTTTATGGGCAGGTGTGAAATTTAATGTGGTGGGCTGCCCTTGGGTGGGGTGAGAAAGACTTGACAGACTCGCACATGCTGCCGAGGACCAGTGGCACTGTGCTGGGTGGCTGACTAGGTGGTCGACGGGAGGCAGGAGATGTGCTTCTCAGGGGAGTGACAGCACAGCACTCCTCCCCAAGCACTGGCCTGTGGGACAAGGTGGTGCAGATGGCTGGCATGCCAAGGAGCCGGCGAGACCTGTGCCTACCCTTTCTACCATTGCTTTCCAGAACCTTCTGCAAGTCTCTCTTGGCCTCTCTGCCCTTGGGCAAGGTACAGAGGGAGATGTGCATGACACCAGGGTTCCCCCACCTTAGCCAGGAGCAGGCATGGACCCAGGCTGTCCTGCTTCTGCTGGGTCTGTATCCCAGCTTACCTCGCAATGAAGCCTCATCAAAAGAACCTGACACGTGCTTCCGCATGCCCTTCCAGGACTTGAGAGGGTAGAAAGCTGTGGTCTCTGTGAAGCCAGGGAGAGGGCTGCTCAGGAGAAGCAGGGAGCCTGCTGAGCTGTATCAGAGAGGCAAGCCAGCCTCTCTGATGAACTCACCCACAGGGCCCTGTTTTGTGCTTCATCTTGAGCAGAAGTGACCCCAAACACAGCACACCCACACTGAACAGTGCCAAGGCCGTGTGCCGCCCTCCTGAAAGGGAAGCATTCCTCCGCTCTTGGTTTGAAACTTCCATGCGGGATGTTGCATTTCCCAGAGACCCTCTTGATTTCACCTCTTCCACCTTCTCACCCAGGAAGGGCCAGAGAAAAGTGCCAAGACAGGAACTAGCATAGTAGGAATACCATTCTGTTTCCTTGACCACGTACCAGCCCCTAGGGCAAGTCCAGGGGGTGCAAGAGGAAGCCACATGGCCCTCTTCTGTCCTCGCTGGACAGAGAGGACTCAACTCCCCAGGAATCTTAGGCAGCAGGTGCTGTTAGGTGACAGGGAGGGAAGGCCTTCCAAGATGGGAGAGCCTTGAACAGGAACTTCCCCTACTTTGAGGGAAATGAGGGAAGGCTTCCCGGATGGAGGAAGGCTGCGGAGAGGAGCTTTTAAGTAGGAATTTGCAAGCTAGCTTTAGAAACTTAAATGGAGGCCTTGCTTTTCTCGAGGCCATTTACATCCACCAGGGCATTTTAATTATGGTGAAACTGGCTATGCTAAATGCAATTTGGGATTATTTATTTTAAAAATTTTCATAAAATTGCCCTAATTAGGGATGCCCCTGAATGCAAACAAGGAGCATTGAAGGAGAAAAGAGACATCTTTTCTGTTCTTCTGTGCAAAAAGTAAGCATGCAGTGAGAGAAAGGGTTCTGACTGGAGACCTGGGCGGGAAGCCGGTGTCCTGGAAGGCGTCTCTCACATGGAACAACTGTTCTCTGCAGCTGGAGGTCCCAGGGATGGTACAGGAACCTGTGGGTCATTGAAGTGTGATCAGGAGGACTGTGGACAGCCAGGACCTGGAACATCCCCAACTCCTCAGCAGGCTCCCCACTGGCAGGGGCTCCCACCCCCGGCTGATCTCAGAAACCCCTTCAGATGTTGCTAACGGAGGAAGACATCCACCCGGGGGGAGACAGGCCGGGTGGTCTTTGATCCTCAACCCTGGATGCACACTGGTCACCTGAGAAATAACGCTGGGGGAGAAGAAAGAAAAACCTCCTAAGAATCTTTGGAAATACCCCAGGTCACCCTAAGGTGCAGCTAGGGAAGCAAACCTTGCTTTAGACCTACCTTCAGAGAGATACAGAAACTCAGGACCTGGGAGAAAGAGCAGCATTCCCACAGGGTGCACCTAGGCTTCAGGCTTCTGGATCGTTCCAGGCCAGCAGTTCTCCAACCCTGCTGCCCATCCGATTCACTGGAGAATTCAGGAAATTCTCATGTCCACACCACATCCCATGTCAAATGAATCATGATCGCTAAGGGTCAAAATGTCAGCAGTCTTTGTTTCTTTCTTTCTTTAATGTACAGCCAAGTTTGAAACCAGGGTCCCAGAGCAGGAGTCCTGGCATCTGAGGGCACATTGGGAGGTCTGGACGGCGTGCCAATTCATGGGTACTAAGCCCCACCCGGTGTTTCTGGTTCGGCCGTCCGGAGGAGGGATGAGAATGTTCATTTCTGACAAGTTCCCAGGGGCTGATGGTCTGGGCCCACATTTTGAGAACCATGGTCTACGTCAAGCGGAACTTCCTGGTCTCTTCAGCCCGCTGTGAGCTGGTTCCTACTGGATCCAACAAAGGAACCCAGAGCCAGACAAATGGACAAGTGTCCGTCATGCCCAGCACTGGGCAGGTGCACTTGGCAGCAGCCTTCTGCTCTGAGGAATCAAAGTCAAGGTTTGACTATGAAGACCTTCTTTGGCCCCTGGTTGGTTGCTTTTGGCTGGTTCCAATGTGACCTAATTGACCTTGGCTAGGGGATGAGCCATGAGCATTCAGACCCCAGTAGAAACAGGGCATGGTGAAGATGACCACCTTCCAACCCCACGGATCCCCGTTCCGCCCGTGGGAGAAGAGGGAGCCAACACCTTAACTAACAGAACTGCTCACTCTGGTGCTTGTTTCTGAAAGCCCTTCCCCCAATCCTTCAAACGTGCCCAAGAAAATGAAACATGGGTTAACCTACTCAGGATAAGAAGTAGAGATAAATTATTCAACCAGTTAGTTTGACATTTAAAAAGGCTATTTATAAAAATGATCATTTCTCAAGAAAATAAAAATAGTGAGAAACTCAAAATTGGCAGTTCTAACAGAGAGAGAGGGATCGTCAGGCAGAAGGATTCTGGGGGCTCTTGAAAACGTAGCTGGAGTGCACGTGGTGTTCTTTGTCCCCTCGACATTCAGGCTGCTCCTCAGGTGAGATTCTGCAATCCCGAATCTGCCTTTCACCTCATCCATCAGGGAGAAGAATGCCACCTGTCACTATCTGTCACATGGGCAGCAGCTCCCGCAGCTCAGAGCTGGACAGTGGGGGCGAAGAGCTGGCTGCTCTGTTTTCCACGTGTGGGTGTTTGGTGGCATTACACCGGAAGTTACGTGGCGCTGCACACATGGCGGAACTCTTTTTAGCTCTCAGTTCAAGTGGGAGGTGACTCTCCCCCTAAAAGAATTTAAATCTCTTTCCTTCCTCCGTCAGGCTCCGTGCCTGGCTGTGGTGGATCAAGGGCACAGTGTTCATTCCCCAGCGAGACACAGACCCAGGAAGGCCCGGAGGGAGAGAGGCCTCCGCCCCACGCAGCTCACTACAGTGATCAACAAGCGAGGGCCAAGAGACCCCTCTCTAATGGTCACACCCCGGTGCCAGTGCAGAGGCAGATTGTGAGCGGCCAGACCAACACGGGTTCCAGAACTCTGGGTTCAGCTTCGTGCTGTCCATCCTGATTTGGTGGAAGTTCTTTAGGGAACAGAAAAAGGAAATTCTTTTAATAATACATTATTTTTTTTTAAAAAAAAATACATAATAATTGTACATACTTATGGAATAAATGTTATACTTCAGTGCATGCATAGAACATGTGATTATTAGCTCAGAGTAATGGGCATATTCATCACCTTAAATATGTCTCATTTCTTTGTGTTGGAAACATTTAAAACCCTCTCCACTTGCTATGTTGCAATATACAATAAATTGCTGTCAACCACAGTCACCCTGCTGTGCTATAGAATGGGGGGAGCTAGTTCCCTGTCCACCTGCACCTCTGCACCTGTTAACCATCTTGCCTCCATCTCCTCTCACCCCCACCTTTGTAGCTAGAAGGTAACCACCATTCTACTCTCTAGTTCCATGAGATTGAGTTTTTAAGCTTCTACATATAAGTGGAAACGGGTTTGTCTTTCTGTGACTGACTTACTTCACTTGACACAGTGTCCTCCAGTGCCATCCATCTGGTGCAAATGATAAGTCTTCTGATTTTTCGTGGCTGAATAATGCTCCCTGGTGTGTGCTCATTCATCCCTCAGTGGACGCTGAGGTTGTTTCTATGTCTTGGTCATCGTGGATGGTGCTGCATCGAGCCTGGGAATCGCTAGTTCTGATGGAGGCACTTCCGTACTGTTTTCTGTAATGGCTCGACTAATTTGGGTGCTCTCTTTCTCTGGGTCTTTGCCATATTTTTCACTCTTGGTCTTTTTGATAATGGCCATTTGGATTGGGGTGTGACGGTATCTCTTCCTGGTTTCGATTTGCATCTTCCTGATGATGAATGATATTGGCCAATTTTTCACTCACCTAGGATCAGCCCGAGGAGAGGGGCTGTAAGTTCTAGGAGGTGAGGAAGAGTTCCTCATCGAGGCCACCTGTCCTGGCCTTTCCCTGGTGGGAGACTTTCTACTACAGATTCGATATCCTTGCTCGTTACTGGCTTCTTTAGCTTCTCTATTTCTCCATCGTTCCATCTTGATAGGTTTTATGCGTCTAGAAATTTATACATTTGTGTGGTCTTTCCAATTTGGCATACAGTTGTCTATGTCCCTAACGCTGCTTTGTATTTCTGTGGTGCCAGTTTTGTGTCTGTTTCATCTCTGATTTTTATTTATATGGGTATTATATTTTTTTTAGTCAAGCCAAAATTTTGTCGTTTTATCTTTTCAAAAATCCTACTCTCTGTTTTCTTAAATATTTTATCTTTCCCAAAACCTCAATTTCATTTATTTCTGCTCCAATTTTTCTCATTTATTTACTTCTGCTAATTTTGGGTTCGGTTTGTTCTTGTTTTTCTAGTTCATTCAGTGCATTGTTGGGTTGTTTATTTGATATCTTCCACATCTGTGAGGTAGGCGTTCGTTTCTGTAAATGTCCTTCTCAGAGCTATTTTTGTTATATTCCACAGGTTTCAGTAACTTGGAAATTCTTACCAGAACCCACAGTGCGTCATCCATGCTGCCTGTGAGCAGTTAAGTGCAGTACACCAAACTCTCCTAGTGACATTTGTGCCAAAATCCCCAAATTTGGTGGCTTGGGCCATGTGACACCATGTCTCTCTGAGCTGGACATTTCACGGCAGGCCTGTGTACACCTGGGTGACAGATATGATACAGTGACCCCTCCACCCACAGGTCTGGAGTAGGCTGCAACTTCCTGGACTTCGTGTGTTACATTTTCTTTTCTCTTGCTGATAATGCAGCTGTTTCATACCCTAAAGAGAACACTGCAAGGTTCAGATGAGGTTTCTTTTTGTAATTTTTTTGGACACAATACCTTTATTTTGTTTATTTTTATGTGGTGCCGGGATCGAACCCAGTGCCGCATGCCTGCTCAGCAAGCACGCTACCACTGAGCCCCAGCCCCAGCCCTGTAAAATATTTTTTTAATAGAACAGTTCTACACTTGTAAACTATAGCACAGGTTTATACAGGACTGGCTTTTGCAAGACCCCAAGAGTGAGTACCTCCCTAAATGTACACCGTATGTGCCTGGCTTACCTACCCTGACCATGTCCTCTAGTTCCTTCATGTTAGCATCTTCCATGACCATGGAATGTCGTCAAAACTAAGAGACACACACCGCTTCATTACTTATAACTAAACATCAGACTTCATCTGGATTTCACTAATGTTTCTATTTTTAAAACATTTATTTATTTATTTTAACTAGGTCTGTATGACAGCGGAAGGCATTTTGACTCGTTGTACACACTCGCAGCACCACTTTGCATTTCTCTGGTTGTACGCTATGTACTGTCACACCATGTGTGCAGTCACACATGTCACCAGTGTTTCTTTAAATGTTCTTTTCCTGGTTTGGGATTCAATTCAGAGTAGCATGTGACGTTTTGTTGATATGTCTCTTCAATCTCTTGTCTGTGATAGTTTCTTGTTTGAGTGGCTCTGCTTTTGAGGAGTGCTGGCCAGGAATTCTGTTCTAGGTCCCTTACTTTGTCTTCTCTGACATTTTCCTCCTGTTTCAGAAGGATTCAGGAGATCTCCTGGAAACAACACCCCAGAGGTGAGGTTCTCTTGGATTGCATCATATACTGGAGGTGTCACCATGATATCACTGGGCTGATGAGCTTGACTCCCGGGTGGAGCCTGTAGGTCTCTCTATTGGAAAGTTACTACTTTCCTTCTCAGAGTCTGGGATTTGGAAATGTGTTATGAAGTGCTGTCCACTCTTCAGCAGGGTGTTGGTCTTCACCCCAGGCTGAAGAAGTATTCATGTTATTTGGCTTTTTTGAAAAGGAGAGTTCAAGTGTTTCCTGAATTTACTTCTTTGCCAACAATAGATGACAAAAGTTCAGTGAGTCAGACAGCCCTTTTTCAATCATAATAGACAGATGTTGGTATTTGGTGTCAGGGTGACAGGGGCTATAGAAATGGGACTTATGATGATAGGACACCAGGTCAAAAGTGGGAGGTGGGGCTGCATGAATTTGAAGGGACGGCCTGTTCACCTTAGTCCTCTTTTGGAGAACTGCACTGACCACTCCACAGAAGGGTGTTCTAGAAGCCCCTGCCTGAGACCCACCACCAGGCATTGTTGGTGTAGGACAATTGGGGACCTCTCTGGCAATTCATAGACAGTCATAATTAATGGAGGCATCACACACCGTTTCCTGAATGGAGGTAGAACTGACAACCTCCTCTTCCAAGGCTATAATTAAAGAAGCAGTTGAGAAATGTTATCTATCCAATCCTGCATATTCAAACGTATCTGTCACAAACACATTGTTAAACTCCCCCTTAGGTCTCACTTGTCACTTTCAAATGCCTGCTTGCAGAGATGGCTTATTCTTGAGTACATGTGCAACAGAGCACTACCAGGTCTTCAGTGGGAGGTGAGAGCACAAAGAAGAGCCAACTCCTTTCTGCCTTCACCAGTGATTCCAGCCAACCATGCTGGGAGCAATCTCATGGAAATGCAGGCTTGCAGATGCACGGGCTCCCTGTTCAAGTTTTGCATGGGAAGAGAACATAGTCGGAGCCTGGAAGCCATTAGCTGAGCTCTGCCTAAGGATCCTAGAATTCTTTTCCTCTGATTTAAACTTCAGTAGCTTTTACTTGTGACCCAGGATTTTTTTTTCCAGTACTGGTGATCAAACTCAGGACCTTGCATGTACCAGCAAGTGCTCCACCACAGAGTTACAGCCGGGCCGCAGCTGCACTCGGGATGGTATGCACCCTTGACCCTCTGCATGACTGGGAGGCACCTTGCTCTCATGGCCTCTCTGGTGTGTAGCCTCGGAACACAGAAAAGTAGCCAGTTTCATACTTCCTTGGAGGGTCAGCCCAGGACTGAGCTGTCATCTCACCTCTGTCCCTCTGTGCTACAGGCCTGTGATGTGGAGATGACAGGAAGCAGGATTGGTGCCTTACTGCTGCTCAGGGATGATGACTGTGTG